ATTATTATCATTATTGTTATTGTTATCATTATTGTTATTGTTATCATTATTGTTATTTTTATCATTATTATTATCATTATTGTTATTATTATTATTATCTTTGTTGTTATTACCCTCCTTGGTTAACAGACGCACCTACAAGTATTCGTATACACATATACGTATGGATGAGGACATAATCAAGTAATACGGATATACGCTAATATATCTGCCTACATACCTATTTCTCTCTAAATATATACATGCATATATCTTTTCATGCATGCATAGATATACGTATATGTATATATATATATATGTATATATATATATATATATATATATATATATATATATATATATATATATATATATTGTCTTTATGAGAATTCATTTGATTTAAACTTTTATGAATATCCTTTTCTCAAAATTATATTCCTGAAAATTGAATCGTAAATATACCAAAAGCACTTATAGTGATATTATGATTAAGATTGGGAGGAGTTAAGCATAAACTACATGGTTATTTCCGAGAACATAGTATGCATTGAATTCTTTTAACACTTGATCAGATTTTACTTTTGACACAAGATTTACAAATGAAAGAAAAGAACTGAGGCTTAAAAGCGACAACAGATGATTTTTCGAAATTCCGTAATTGTAGAAGCCTTAACAAGCAACTCCGTAAAGCAGAAAAATGAGACGGTTATGTTTTCCATGTCTTGAACTCATAAATTTGATCACTTCATGTAGAAAGTGAACGCGTTCACAATGCATTACAGCAAGAAAGAAAGATTCTTATAAAGATTGTCTTTATTCAATAGTGTAAATTCATAACGAAAATGTTTTCCTTTCCATATTAAATGAAATTCTTAAAAAAAAAGAAAATTATTAATTATCTTATCATTATCAACATAATTATGATTATTATGATCACAATCATTATAACAGTTATTACTAAAATGATTATGAGTATAGTTATTATCATCATTATTTGATATTAACATTGTTTGATATAATTATTATTATTATCTACATTCTAGAGTACCAGTAGTTAGTAGAAGTGCAAAAAAATACTATTTATATTCTTTATTTATTAAGCATTCAATCCAAAACATATCACTGGGTAAAAGTCACCTGCACCGAGGTGCGTACGCACAGTTACAACGAGGCCAGGAACTCTGGGTGTTCCTGGCGGACATGACTCAACATCTTGTGGTCGCGCTGCCCGCCGAAGTCCATCCCGCAGACAGGACACTGACGGCGTCGACCTTTGACAGGACACTGGTGTTCCTCCGGCACGGGAACGCTCTCGTCGCAGACATCACAAAACCAGCCACTGACTGTCCGACGAAGGATTCTTTGCTTCCGCAGACACACCTTCAGCAGGATATGAATAAGCCTTTCGGACGAGCGCTTGAAACTGCGGTTGCAGGTGGGACACGAGAACTGAGAGTCGTCGTGAATGGTTCGATGTCCGTTGAGGGTGGTCCGTCGCATAAAGCCTTTCCCGCACACATCGCACGTGAAGGGCCGATCCCCCGTGTGGGTATTGAGGTGCATCTTTAACTTGTATCGATTCTCGAAGCGCTTGTCGCAAAGATGACAGTGAGCGTTCTTCCTTCTGCGGGTGGAAGGCGAGGGACCAGTCGGCGAGGAGGTTACCTGCGGCGCCAGGAAGGTGACCGTGATGGGTCCGAGAGCGCTCTTGAATTCTTGGCTTACTGAAGGAGCAGGTGAAGGGGAGATCTTGAGTTCTTGGCTTACTGAAGGAGCAGGTGAAGGGGAGATCTTGAGTTCTTGGCTTACTGGAGGAGCAGGTGAAGGGGAGATCTTGAGTTCTTGGCTTACTGAAGGAGCAGGTGAAGGGGAGATCTTGAGTTCTTGGCTTACTGAAGGAGCAGGTGAAGGGGAGATCTTGAATTCTTGGCTTACTGGAGGAGCAGGTGAAGGGGAGATCTTGAGTTCTTGGCTTACTTCGAGGGATGGAGACGTCCAGGTCAGCGATGGGGCAGTGTCCCAATCCGATGACTTATCAACAAAAGGGCTGAAGTAACTTGAATACAAAGGTGTTGGCTGACTCCATGAAAGGCCACTCGCAGGTCGCACACACTGTCTCTTCGGAGCCGGCAAGGGCGTTCCGAGTAAGTGGTCCATGATGTCCTTCGACGAAAACGCCCCCACAACAGCACCAAAGGGCCAGGCATAACAAACCGCGCCAGGCCCATACTGAGAGGCAGCCACGTCAGGCAGATCCCAAAAGTTGCGCTCAAAGTGATCCATCTTGATGATCGAACAATGAGGGAAACTGTGTTGAAGCTACGAGTGAGGAAGAGGGTAATGAATGCTTCCTGACCTGAGGACGATCTTTACGAGTCAAGGTCACAGCCCGGCCGAGTTCCTTCCCCATTTCTGCACCTGATGAGACTATCAAAATTGATACTACTATTATTATTGTTGTTGTGGTTAGTTTTACAATAGTAATACTAATTATTAATATTATCATGTTTGGGTATGTATGTGCGTGTGTGTGTCCGTGTGCTTGTGTATGCGTGCGTGTATGTGTATATGTGCGTGGTACAAGAAGCATAAAACACATAAATCGGTCAGCACTTAGTTTTTTTTTAGCTACAGTGGCTGGTGCTTTCGTAAAGTTGTACCAGTATCCATCCCTGCTATGAGGAGAGAGGTCTTTCTCTGGCTATATGACATTTACGCATCGTTCAAATAGAGTAATGTGACGTAAGTTTTTGTTATTTTATCGGCTGACTATATCTATTCGACAATATCTTTAATATTTTAAAACATTTATTGCTATCAATCCCATATTAAACGTTCAAACTTTATACAGACAATATACAGAGTTGAAGAAAAAAAGTAGGAAAATAACTATCGCTGACGTCACAGCTTCCCCGGAATAATGGCAGCACCTGGGACAATCCGATCGTTAGGGCCCTCAATTATCCTCTGCTTCCTCTCCGTTCACCTGTGCGGGGATTGTTATGTTTTCATCCAAAATGCAATTGGTTTTCCCTTTCTTTTGACCTTGCATTGTTATATCTGTGTTTGTTGTTATCCATATAGTACTCATTATTACGGAAATGGGCATGGAAAAGAGAAAGAGAGAGAGAGAGAGAGAGGAGGGAGGAAGGGAGAAAGGAAAAGAGAGAGAGAGAGAGAGAGGAGGGAGGAAGGGAGAAAGGAAAAGAGAGAGAGAGAGAGAGAGAGGAGGGAGGAAGGAAAAGAGAGAGAGAGAGAGAGAGAGAGAGAGAGAGAGAGAGAGAGAGAGAGAGAGAGAGAGAGAGAGAGAGGAGGCAGGAAGGGAGGAAGGAAGAGAGAGAGAGAGAGGAGGCAGGAAGGGAGAAAAGAAAAGAAAGAGAGAGAGAGAAGAGGCAGGGAGGCAAGAAGGAAAAAGAGAGAGAGAGAAAGAGAGAGGAGGCAGGAAGGGAGGAAGGGAAAGAGAGAAAGAGAGAGAGAGGAGGCAGGAGAGGAGGAAGGGAAAAAGAGAGAGAGAAAGAAAGATAGATAGACAGAGAGAGAGATTGCTTAATCCGGTCCTGCCCCCGAATTACAGCCTCTGACTTTCATTCTCCCACGCGTAAGTGTCCCACCTTGAATCTTCGTAAAACATCTATGCACTTACACATAAGGCGTTCATTCTACAGTAATACTTACATATAAGCTTGACACATGTCCACGCAATCTTGTCCAATGTAGATAGGAAATCACACAATAGCATGGATAATGACTATTTTTACAACCCCGGTTTTCTGACGACGAGAAAAATAAGTTTTAATATTTTCCTAAAAATATTTGCAAGCATCGTTGTCCACTTTGCTGCGTCATGTATCCTGTCACAGAATTCTTTTTTTCTCTTTTTATCCATTTATTACTTTGTCTCTTCTTATGTTCGTCATTTATTTTATCTTGTTATTCTTAATTTTAGTTGATTATTTCTATGTATATATATTTATATCTTTATTTTCGTTTAGCTATTTTCATCTTGTCTTTTTAAGCGATTTTTTATATCTGTTTTTTCCATTTTCATTTATATTCGTTTGCTTATCTTTTTATTAGATATTTTGGGTGTTAGTTAAATTACTATAATCCTCTTCATACTTGTTCTCTTAATTTATTTGTTTTATTTCATTTTATTTTATTTATTCAAAGATCCGTATTGAGTTCCAGGAACTGTGTTTTTTCCCTAAAATAGAGATGTTACTTTGTTTTTTCATGTTTGTTGAATCTCGTTGACATTGCAAGCGCGGTTCGTCTCATTATAGATAGATAGATAGATAGATAGATAGATAGATAGATAGATAGATAGATAGATAGATAGATAGATAAATAGATAGATAGATAGATAGACAGATAGATAAGTAGATAGATAGATAGATAGACAGATAGATAGATAGATAAATAGATAGATAGATAGACAGATAGATAAGTAGATAGATAGATAGATAAATAGATAGATAGATTAGATAGATAGATATAGTTTTTTTTCGAGAGATGAATATGTAAAAGAGTGTTTATCAAAAGGATATGATAAAAGCTGAAATTATTTCATCCTCCTGATTTCATTATTATTTACAGCATATCGGTTAATTCTTTTGTCTGTCTGTTTATCTTACCGTTTTGTTTGTTTTATTTATGTGTGATTTTTTTTTCTTAAAAAAAAGGAATTTTATATACATCAGATTAAAGAGAATATCTTTTTATTATATAAAACTATTGCATAAAGTGTTTTTGTACAATTTTCTTTTCGTATTTTTCTCTCTTCTCTGTTGTTTTTTTCTGTGTCTACTTCTTATTCTTCTTTCTTTTTCTTCTTTTCTTTCACCATCTCATCTCCCTTTCCAGTAATCTTTGGGTCAACTTCGTCTTTTTTCTTCTTCTTCTTTTCTTCTTTCTCTTCCTCCTTCTTATCCTCTTCATGAGTGTTCTTTTGGTCAGCTTAGTTTTTCTTTTTTTCTTTTTCTTCTTTCCGTTTGTCCTCTTCTCTCTCCCTCTTCTTCTCC